AACCACACACACACACACACACACACACACACACACACACACACACACAGAGTCTCTCACATACATACTTCCTCCCCCCCCATTTCCACAACACACCCTCAGTCTCTCTTCCCACCACACACACTTCCTGTCACACGCTCCTCCCTCTGCCCCACCCCCCACTTCAGTTGAAAAGCAGCTGGCAATCTAGTAGGATGCCCATGAAACAGATGGGCTTGAGAAACCTGCATCATGTGACGCTGTACCTGCCCCATGAAGCATTGGAAACCCTTTCCAAAGCACCCTGTGGCCAGTTGCACCTCTCTGTGTCGATGCAAGAGCTGCTAGTGTGGATGCGCTTCAGCGACATAAGGAGCGTAGTGTGGACACGCAACAGTGGTTTAATTAAAGTGCTTTAATTAAAAAGAGGCATAACTTTTGACAACAAAACTCTGTACTGTAGACATAGCCTAAGAAACCAACACATAGAATCAGGACTCAAAATTCACGTATCCTGCAGTCTGACACATTCATTCCCTCATTGGCTATCACCACTTGCACAGCATGGGAGACAGCCAGATTGGGACCCATGGGGAAGGAATGTCCTCTGAAGGCATCAGCTCTTTCTCACTTTGCCTCATGAAACACTAGATCCAAATAATAAAGGACAATTGTTCCCAATCTCACCATGGCAGCCTTTGGGGCTGTAATCAGTGCCACTCAACTACACAGTGACATTGTAAACAGTTTTATCTGTGCCATATTAAACCACAGCTTCCTTCTCCTGGGTGAAAACAAACAACTAGACAGCTGCTATTTCTCTCTACGTTCTTGCCAAGTTCTTGGCCTAGGGCAGGATAAATTTACACTTCTCTGTACTAGAATTCCTTATCAAACCACTCACAATTTCAGTAGTGCTAGTGAAGAATGGATTCCCCAGACATATACCTAATTTCTTTCTTTAATATGATGCCACATGTCAAAAATTAGGAACTATGTACAGGCCTGGATCAGAATCTCTATAAGCTACCAGAGACGTAATTTCTCTGTAGCTCATGAAATAAATTTGTTAGTCTCTAAGGTGCCACAAGTACTCCTGTTCTTTTTGCGGATACAGACTAACATGGCTGCTACTCTGAAATCTATCATAATCGTTATTTTTCTGCTTCAAGAAAGATGTCATTTTATCCACATTTGCAGCACATACAAAGAATGAGTTCAGCAAACACACCATTTCTATTTACATCTGCATAGTTAGGGATATCCTTTTCTAAATAATAAGATTATTTAGGAGATTAACTTCATGGGTAACCTGCTGTGAGACCTGAATTATAACTGTTTTGGAAATCAAAGACCGACATTTTGCCTAGTTTCAAGTCACTTACTGCGTAATTCAGTCGGTCCCTGGAGGATCTGACAATATTGACCTACACAATTGAACACCACTGTGAACATATGCAGTTACTTCAGTTAGTTGTACTACTGGAATCTGCTGTTGTTCATCATCTCAGATTGGAGATTAAAAAATATTAATGAGTCCTGCGTAGCAGGTCCAATAGAGTGGAGTATTCTCTTCACTGACCTGCACTTCACGCCACCATGGAAGGACGGGGAGAAAGAAAAACAAAGTAAGAAATGACTATTTTAGCAAATGGTCGCTTGTCTCAAAATTCCCAATAAATCTGAGCTACAATTTATCAAACAAAACTACTATCTAGTTATGTGACCAAATGGCCTTCAGGAAAGAGGGGGGAAAAAACATCTCAGAGAGGTGTAAGACACTTCCAGTTTCATATAAAGTAAAATTCCAGAGCAGGTTACATGATTCTTCCATTGTCTTCTCCTCTGATACCTACTTCACTGAGCACTGTCTCATTATTATTAAGTCGTGTAATTTACAAAAGTATTAACAATCATAATGGGGAAAAAGCAGCCAACCTTCCCATCTGCAAACAATTCCAACCAAGCAGGAAAAAGTCCCGAAGTGGCCTAGCTAGTACCTGGGGTAGTAGAGAGAGAGAGAAAGAGCACGAGCATGTGCCTGGACACACTGGGCCTCGTGCAAGATCTGAGGCTCAACCAAAAGCTGTGAACCAGAGGAGGCCTGGCCTTGGCAACATAACAACATACTTGATATTTATGTAAATATATTCCAGCTAGTACAGATACATCCAATCAAATACAAGAAGAGATGGTTTGACAAAATAATGAATGGGGATGTTTTGTCCAAGATCTCAGAAACAAGGGGAGGTAACAAAGCAATGTAATGAAACTTGTAAGATGGTATGTAAGTTGTTTATCCCAGTTGTGTCTCAGTTTATAAATGTTGGGCTATCTCGCCTTAACCCTCGTCCAGCCACAGGGGCAGCAGAAAGTCCTGCTGTTGACTGAGCTGGTCTCTTGTAACGGGCATATATGTGTTAGCATATCTGTAGGATCTATGGGGTGCTAGGACCGTGCTTCATTAACAATAAACCTGGCCGAGCGCCTTCACCACCGAATCGAGTCTCTGCTCTTTCTACATAGTTCTATCAATGTCTACTGGGTCAGCTACCTGCACAGAGCTGGGACATCACACAGAAAGAAAAAGAAAAGAAAAGAAAACACACATACACACACACAAAACTGGGATTTAGACTAAAAATGATCACATTCTGTTTGGGATCCATTCAAATTTCCCTTCCAGATGTGTGACACATTCATCTGCAGCACTATTGAGTCTGATTTCAAAGCACAATTCTGAATCACAGAGTTGAGCATACGGCATCATGTGACACTTTGGTAGGTGGAGGATTAGAATGTGGAGAAGATAAATATTGCATGGCTCAGACAGAAGCTGACACTACTCGGGTGTTGGGGAAGGAGAGAACTCACACCTCCGACTCACCTTCCGGTCTAACAGAAGCTGAAACAACATTCTTTTGCCTGTCCCTACTCTTGGTTATATTTAAATATATTTTAAATGAGAAAAACAATACAAAAAAGGAATGCTGCTCTGCACAACCCAGGGTAACATGAGAACAACTGGGAATGAGACAATCTGTCCCCAAAGAGGGAACTCGGTGACTAAGTGATACTCTAGGTTTCTTTAAACTAGGAAAAATGGTGGCGGTCAGGTTACTTTATGCAGAAATGTATTTGAAAACTTCAACAACTGTATGTGTGCAAAAGCAGGTAACTCGTCTGGGGGACCTGACAGACCATGGCGAACCAAATGGTGCAAATAACCTTAGAGTTCACTATGTAGGAATTAACCAAAGTATTAAAGAAAACATATTTTGTCAGCCCTAGGCAAGTTTTTTATGGTGTTTATCACTCTTGTGGATCCTCAGATGCTCAACACGGTGTGAGTACACATAAAAGCTCTTCCCACACCCTGAGCATTTATAGGGTTTCTCTCCTGTGTGGAATCTCTGAAGACAAATAAGCCTTGGTCAATCAGTGAAGATTTTCCTACACTCCCAGCATGCATAGGGTCTGTTTCCTTTGATGTGTAATAAGGCCCGAGCGGTAAGTGAAGGTTTTCCCACACACTGAACATTTATAGGCTCTTTTTCCCGAGTGAATTCTCTCATGTCTGAGAAGGTGTGAGTTGTCATTGAAATTTTTCCCACACTCTGAGCATTCATATGGTCTTTCTCCTGTGTGGATTCTATGATGTCTAATAAGTGCTGAACTCTGAGTGAAGCTTTTCCTACACTCACAGCATTCATAAGGTCTTTCTCCTATATGGACCCTCTCATGTCTAATAAGGGGGGACATATCATTGAAGCTTTTCCCACACTCAGAACAGGTATAGGGTCTTTCTCCTGTGTGGATTCTCTCATGCCTAATAAGCTTTGAGGGGCTACTGAAGCTTTTCCCACACTCAGTGCATGTGTTGTTTTTCTCTCCTGTGGGGATTCTTTGCTGGGCTCTGGTTTCCTTGAGGTGCTTGTGAGTTCCTGGACTATTTGTAGATTTACTCAGTTTCTCCCATCGCTGGTTTCCCTGCTGCCTCTTTGACCTGTGCTGCCTCTCACAAACTTTTCCCTGCTGACGACTCCTGGACACAGTTCCTTTAGATCTTTGTGATAATGCTCTGTGCAGTTCCACTTGCTTAGCATCTGCCTGTTGAGGATTCTGCTCCTGATTCTCACTCACCATCCAGTCACCTGCTGGGAGACAGAGAGAGAGAAACATCAAAAACAGGGATGGAAAAGGGGACAGGAAACCAAAATAAGTGCTGTGAAGACAGAAAAATATCAGGAACTGCATTCCCCTACACTCCTCCCCATAGGGGAGAGAGAAGGATATCAGATCGGCCATCGAAATACTCAGGAGAATGGGAGGTCAGGGAAGGAGCCACTGCCATGCATCAGTCAGGATGGGAAGGAAGCCATGACAGATCTCTGCCCTGAGCACTGTAGACTGGCCATAGCTCTTCCCTTTATTCCAGCTGGGAGATCAGACCAGCTTTGGAATGGGAAACCCTGCTCTGGGGAAAGAAAACAAGGGAAATTCGGTGAATTCATGGGACATTTGTCACACGCACGGTCACACACACACCACCTATTATTTTAACCCCAGATTGGAAAGTTTTTTCTAAATCTCCCTTGCTGCATAGTAAGCTGACTTATTGTTCTATCTTCAGTGGGCATGGAGAACAATTGACCATTGTAGCAATGTGGGACTCACCCCTGCGGCGCCTCCTGCTGGTCTCTTCCGGGAATTAGCTCATCCAGCCTCAGGACCGCCCTCTGCAGGCCTGTGACCCGGTGCCCCGTTATCTGGGGTGCTGCCCCCTGGCTGTACACCCCTCTGTCTCAGGGTCTCCCCTCCCCAGGGAACCCCCACCCACTATCCCCACCTCACCTCAATATAAGGCTACTGCCAGTCATCGTCTAGCCCCCGCGCCCTGGGGCAGACTGCAGCATAAGCCACTCATCACAGGCAAGGTTGGGTTTGGACCTGCTGCCTTTGCCTACCCCTGGGCTGCCCTCTGCAACCCCCAATACCCGTTGGCCTTCTGCTAGGCCGCAGCCTGGGGCTTTCCAGGCTGGAGCTCCCAGCTCCTCTGCCTTTCCCCAGCCCTGCTCTACTCAGGTACTCTGCTCAGGTCCCTGCAGCCAGGTCCCTCCCTCTCAGAAGCTAGAGGGAGTCTGCTGAGCTCCTGGCTCCCAACCTCTTATATAGGGCCAGCTGAGGCCTGATTGGGGCATGGCCAGTGATGAACTGTCAAAATCTTAACAACCGGTTCCCTCCTCACCCCATGAGGGGGTCGTGGCCTGCCCCCACCCCCCGGGACTCCTGCCCCATCCAACCCCCCACGTTCCTTGACCCGCCCCGGGACCCCTGCTCCCTGACTGCCCCCCGCCGCCCCATCCAACTCCTCCTCTCAATCCTGATGGCCCCCTGGGATCCCTGCCCCATCCAACCACCCCTTCTCTCTGTCCCCTGACTGCCCCTGGAACTCCTGCCCTTGACTGCATCCCACCGCCCCATCCAACCCCTGCTCCTTTCCTGACAGTCCCCCTAGGATCCTTGCCCCCCATTCAATCCCCCCGTTACCTGCCCTCTGACCGCCCCGACCCCAATCCACCCCCTCCACCTCCGAACTCCCCTGCCCTCTATCCAACACCCCCTCCCTGCTCCCTGACTGCGCTGCCTGGAGATGGCTGGCGGCGCTACAGCTGCGCCGCGCGGCTGGAGCCGGGCCAGGCCAGGCCGCCTCGCAGCGCCTGGAGCACCAGGTCAGGCTGAGCTCGTAGTCCGCTGCCCAGAGCATGCGCCGGCGGCGGGGCAAGCCGAAGCTGTGGGGGAGGGGGAACAGCCGGGGACTAACTTCCCCAGCTGGGAGCTCAGGGGCTGGGCAGGAAGGTCTTGTGGGCCACGGTAGTGGGTGCCCACCCCGCCCCTAACAGACAGAGGGACCTGCCGAGGGGCGAGGTGGGGTGTTCCGGCAGTGCTTACCTGGGGCGGCTCCCGGGAAGCATCCAGCAGGTCCCTCTGGCTCCTAGGTGCGGGGTAGCGCAGCTGGGGGGGAGCAGGGGATTACCTGCCGCGGCGCATGGCCCTCCTCGCACCCCCACCCCCCCAGCTCACCTATGCTCCGTCTCCCTGGGCCTGAGTGCGAAGTCGCCGCTTGCTTCTTAGCCCACCCAGGCTTCCCGCGCATACAGCTGATTCGCGGGAAGCGGAGGGGGGGGGAGAGGAGAAGTGGGGCAGAGCATTCAGGGGAGGAGGCGGAGGTGAGCTGGGGCCAGGGGCAGGGTGGGGAGCTGCCGGAGCTTTACTGGTTGTTAAATTTAAAAATCATAGAATCACAGAATCATAGAATATCAGAGTTGGAAGGGACCTCAAGAGGTCATCTAGTCCAACCCCCTGCTCAAAGCAGGACCAATTCCCAGCTAAATCATCCCAGCCAGGGCTTTGTCAAGCCGGGCCTTAAAAACCTCCAAGGAAGGAGACTCCACCACCTCCCTAGGTAACGCATTCCAGTGTTTCACCACCCTCCTAGTGAAATAGTTTTTCCTGATATCCAACCTGGACCTCCCCCACCGCAACTTGAGACCATTGCTCCTTGTTCTGTCATTTCAACGCTAGATTGACACTAGAGAGCATCCTCAAGATATTTTTTACTCATTGGGGATTCTTCTGTCACCTCGACCATCTT